ACCATGACAGCGAACTGTCTGTATCAATAAAAAAGGGCAACAAAACTTTTTCCGTCATTCTGCTGAAATCAGAGATCTTGATACATGTACATGTTATAGCAAGTCTAGCCAGCTATATTCCACAGCATAAGCAGAAAAATACAAAATCGAAATGGATGGTGGAATAAAAGGTTTCAGAGACCTTTTCTTGTCTCCTTGGCTACTTACGATAACTTATAGTTGCGATGGGTAATCCTGTGATAGCAGCGTTTGGTCATTACTCTGAAATCAAAGTTTCAATCCCCTACATGTGCGAAGCCAGATCTTGTTGACCCTGGCTAGGTTATTGCTGGAAAATTGCTACAGGTACCGAAAGACCATACTCATTCATACTCACCCACGGATGTAAATTTTAACATTATTTTGTTGTATTAGAGTGACATAAGATGTATTATAAACATGCACAGTCGCACATGCTTACAAAAAAATACTTGTCTGTCTGGAATTGGGGAGTACCTTGTGGTCAAAGCATTGGCTAATTATGTCGAAGATCCGGATTTGACTTCTCAAATGAGTCCAAAATGTGAAGGCTAGTGTGGCTGGAATATTGCTAAAAGCGGCGTAAAACAATATTCCCAATGAACAAATCAATAGGAAAAATCTATACATATGTTTTTTTCAATATTGTGCCCTAATAGTTTGGAGGTGAGGTAAGTGGTTCACCATCGAGGGATCATTCAAAAATGGCGAACTGATGCTTATAGTCTTCCCTACGTTTAAGAATGTTCGAGACAGCCTGCTTACCATACTTCTCGGCTAAATCTTTCTGCTTCGGTTTTTGCACTGACTTAAAAATTCCTCAATTAAAGCAACTTTCTAAGCAAGTGTAAGTTCGATACGCTTTTTCTTTGCCGTTCCCTCAGCCATTGCGATTGATAACAACAAGCTGTGTTTACCGTTATTTATTGACACGCTCGTGACACTGTTTGTTGCTTAAAACCGCATCTATATTCAAGCTATATGACGGCGGTCTGTAACTAATCTAGTCTTGATCCAGTGACTGACATCGTGAGCATCGATCCACGCAATTGGGATACGATGACATGCATCAACCAAGTCAGCGAGCTTGACCATCCGATCCCGTTAGTCACCTATTACGACAAGCATTGGTTGCTGAAGACCTACATTATATTCTAACCCGGGTCGTCACGGGTCACTCATGACACTATAATAATCAAATTGAACTGCGTTTCTCATTAACAGGTGAGTAAATTCTAATTAACCATGCGGACTACAAAGTGTTAAGATCAAAAGGACTACATTCGTAAAGATCCGGGGTAGAATGGGTCTTCAGCAACCCATGCTTGCCGTAAAAGGTGACTAAGCTTGTCGTTAGAGGCGACTGACGGGATCGGGTGGTCAGACTCGCTGACTTGGTTGATGCATGTCATCGTATCCCAATTGCGTGGATCGATGTCCATGGTGTCAGTCAATGGACTGTTTGGTCCAGACTTGATTATTTACAGACCGCCGTCATATAGCTGGCATATTGCGGAGGGCGGCGTTAAACAACAAACCAACCAACCAATCATGATATCAATCAGTGGATTGTCTGGTCCAGACTCGATTATTTACAGACCACTGTCATTTAGCTTAAATATAGTTGATTGTGGCATTAAACAAGAAACAAACCATTAAAAAAACTTTTATAATGCCTCTTTAACTTGACACTTTAAGGTTACGCAATGATCAACAAACATAACAGTATAGGAAATATACAGTGTGTCCATTTTGTTTTGAAATGTTGTTTTATTACAGTTGACACGGCGTCTCAAGAAGATACACACCGACTACTGAACACCTTGTTCCACAACTACAGTGTATTTATCAGGCCCACACACGACAAGGACATGCCAATCAGTGTGAACGTAGTGCTCGTTATGGAACAGATGCAGAGTCTGGTAAGTCGGAAAGATAGTCGTAATTTACAATTCCACGAACAGATCATTACTCTTGACTCGCAATTACATGTATTAAGTAAGAATATTAAATATCCTGGAGCTGGAGTCGGGCATCACTTTTGTTGTCTTATAGGGAGAGACAAACAATTTCTTTTAACCACAATACATTATTTTACTCCAAAGTGAAAGAACTTCAACTACGGTTTTAGACAGCTTCTTTTCAATAGTAAATTGGTTGTTGGGGCCGTAATTTTATTCCTAAGTGTAAACAGATGTAGGTCAGTTTGAGTAATGATATTAAATAAAGAAACTGATGGGACCGGAGAAAAAGTCCGGTTTTCGCTGAGTCCGATTTGGACAGATTTCACTGTAAAGCGGCAACCCCTTTTCATAATCATAAGAAGTCTCTGCTAACAGTTCATTGTAGTACGATTCCGGCTATATCATGAGCATATGTTTAAGAATCACATTAACCCTAGTGATAGGGTGTGGAAAGTGACGGTGGTATGGGTGTCCTAGTGACATCACTGAACACCGACCTTGGCCTTTATTTTTGGGATCGTTGAGTTGGCAGGATTATTCGCGTTCGCTTTTTAACACTACAATCACTGCTTAGACATGACATGATAAATTTCAAATTAAGCTGACCACTCGCTCTATCACTCACTTACTCAACATGTAATAATATTTCAAATGCGTCATAAAACAGTGTTAGTTCTGCTTGATTTATATTGAATATGACCAAACATAAATATTATTCATGTATACGCTTAAATCCATCAGCAAGCACCATTCTGGTACTTGGGAGCCACGTGTCGATGAAATGGTCGTTTTGATGTATGGATCGTGTACCTTAGTCGCATCAATTACTACCAGTCATAAAACGTATTTAATAAATAATGCATGAAGATATTTTGTTTGATAGGAATTTCATGTGCGTAATTTGGAATGAAAGGACAAACCCCCCCTGGAAAATTGTAAAGTTGAAACCATTTGAGAAAGGAGTTAAGTGTTTTGAACTTAAAATTGGCAGACCTTTAATATATTGGATTTAATGATGTCAACTCTTTTAGAATCCATGGAAAATCGGCATTATAAAGACGTTCAACAAAGGAAAATCTTGTCTTTTACCAGCAACAATTACAACGTATTTCAAATTTAAAGTCGTTTGATGCTCGTGTGCTATATATAATAAACAGTTCCGAAACAATGAGTACTGTATAAAATATAGGTCATTGTCGAGATAGTTGAAACCTGAATCCTCACTCATGCTTGCTATTTTTACTGGGGATTTTAAAGCTAATATATATATATATATATATATATATATATATATATATATATATACGCCCTATTTACATGGACGTATGCATTTTACATGTCATGTCCTTAGTACTGTCACAGCGCGTGCATATTGGATATAATTGCAAATCTGTGCCGCCTGTGAGGAGATATATATATATATATATATATATATATATATATATATATATATATATATATACGCCCTATTTACATGGACGTATGCATTTTACATGTCCTTAGTACTGTCACAGCGCGTGCATATTGGATATAATTGCAAATCTGTGCCGCCTGTGAGGGTAGGACAAAATTTGAACGGTTATACTAGTTATGAACATAACAATTTTGGAGTATTAATAGCTTTTAAAGTCAAAGTAATGGTAAAATGGATAATGTAAAAAGCTGTTATGTTCATGAAATTGTAAGCAAGTAATTCAAATATTTATCACCTGAAATGATGAAATGCTTCCATGATCTCATGATGTTTAATCAGAACAAGAAAATGTTGCATTAAACCCTGCATTCTCGAAACTAATGACTGTTTAATCCGTAGACATAATCACGGGACTAAGAAGAATGACTTCCTAACAAATCGTCCGCTTTCAAACTCAGCCTCCTAAGTCAATTCATGAACACGAAACCCAGCGATCAATCCTTCGCATTCCCGTAAAAACAGTATTTGCTCTTTTAGACATTCTTTATTGGCTGTAAAAACGTTCAATTAAGATTTTGCGTGGACGTTAGAAACATTCAATAACACTTTTCAATGCAATTCATCAATCCAAGGTATTCAACCAGGGGTGGCCTTCTTTCAGAAGCAAACCTGAGTGGATCGACCTACATGACTTTCATAGATTTTATACAGAAACCTCAGAGATTGCTTTTATTCTGTCTAAGAGTTTGAAAGGGTCAAAGAAAAACACCTAAGGTACTGACAAGATGCTTTTTACTATGTAGATTCTTCACTGTGGTATCAGTGCTTTAACAAGATGATCTGTTTCTATCTATTGCCTTGATGTACCGGCATTGTTGATTTCAAATTGTATTGTTACAGATATTGGAGGAAGCAGTCGATACGTAATGAGATTCTCGAAAACAGAAAAATCCTACTTTTCTTTTCAAAGCTTGAAACATACACGTTTTTCGCAATTTGTTGAAATTGAAGACATTACAGAACCTTTGGCAGCTCTACAAGTCTATCGATGAAGTGAAATTGCAGTCGACGTGGCCTTTTGTATCTATACAATGTACGTCTCCTCTTAATGGTTCGGTTGCTTTAAGATCCTCTAAGATTAACCGTTTTTCACAAACATGCTTCAAACGATTGATTGATAGATGAGAAAACATTGTTTGGCAAGCAAGGAAGTTCTTGTAAACGAGTGACAATGATTCACTGTGAAAGTCCAATAAGTCCAATAAAAGAAATCAAATGTGTTTTTAAATTATCTTTTACAGAAACAGCTCTTGAAATCGTCGTAACCATAACTGGCAAACGTGTAACGCCATGATTACATATCAAGCGTGTGACGTTAACTTGCGAATATATATGTCGACATTATTACATTTATCAGTTCTATCAACATTATCAATGTTATAATTACTGTAAGGTTATATTTTCAATGTCATTAAAGCGATGTGTTATTTAGTAAGGATTGATTGATAACTGCATAAAAAAGCATACACATTTGTTGTCTAGATATAATAATTTTCTCACTAATGATGCAAAACAATCAACATTTAATCGAAAAGGTTGCTCAAATATGGTAAAATCAATATTATATATTTTATATTTCAATATCGAAATACCAAACTGAAATGTTACGTCGAACAAATATATTATCATGACAGTTTACCCGAGAAATGATAATGTCGAACAGTTGCATTGGTCACCTGGTCCTATTTTCGCCTGTGTATTTATCATCTTAAGCATGTGGCTATCACAAAACGTTCTTATTGTCTTATAGGCAGGAGCTTCAGTGGTGCCTGTGTTGAATCACTGACTACCTACGTTAGTGTGGTGTTTCCCCTTCTACCTCATTAATGGAACATCCAAAACATTATCAGATAGTCTTGAGACACTTCGGCTATGTACAGAAGAGGTCCAATACCGGTCCAATACCGGGAACATTCGGCCAGCACTTATTTAATTGGAGTCCTCATTCTTGAAAAAGGTCTGCCAGCACAAACCGCAGTCCTTCCGTCGTATTGAAACACAAACTCAAGTGTGAAATATTGCATGGAATAAAATTCAACAGAAGTATATCCAATAACAACTAGCTAACAAACAACGTTAATATTATACATGTTATTGTGTTTGTAACGATAAAGAACACCCAGAATAATGCACCGTCCAGGGACTTCCCAATGTCGTGCCATGAGATCTCGTGAGATTTCATCTCTTCAACCTCTTTAACGAGTCTTTGACATTCGTGTGGAAGAACTTTTTCACTATTATTGGGTTCACTTTCACCGTTTTCTTTGCACTTGCAGTCATTCATATCGTCTGTGTACCGCCTGTGCGTGTGTATGATTATTCCTTCATTCAGCTGTGCATCCGCTTCGATCATCTTATCGCGGATGACTGACCGTCGATGTTGACCACCAAGAATATACTTAACAGAAGCAGGGATTGGCGTCTTGGGATCCTTATGGTGAATATTCAGCACCATTCCCGCACATAACACTGACAATGTACTCATTGAAAGAAGGGAAGTCAAATATACAGCTGAAAATTAAAAAAAAATCATTACTTAATTTAACATTGAACGATGGTACAATGTACATCTGAATATTCAATATCCAATATTCAATATCCATTGACACAATTCTTGCAATAGCAACGTGAAGTGTTTCTGTTAATCTATATTCATTGCATGAATCATTAGAAGAAACATCAGTTCCGAATATATGCTTCCTGACTACCATTTGCAGAATATGCATTGCCATCAGCTTCATGACTACGGTTGGTTGGTTGGTTGGTTGTTTTACGCCGCACTCAGCGATATTCCAGCTATATGACGGCGGTCTATAGATAATCGAGTCTGGACCAGACAATCCAGTGATTAATATCATGAGCATCGATCCGCGCAATTGTGATCGATGACATGCATCAACCAAGTCAGCGAGCCTGACCACCCGATCCCGTTAGTCGCCTTTTGCGACAAGCATAGTCGCCTTTTACGGCAAGTATGGGTTGCTGAAGACCTAATCTACCCCGGATCTTCACGGGTCGACTACGGAGCAGAACTGATAAGGTCTAAGACGTCGCAATTCCCAGCAGCGTTACGTATGCACCAGGATCCGCTGGTCATGGGTTCGAATTCCAAATTCGCACAGATTATGACCCTTGAGTTGTTAGCACCAGAGCTGTACTCATAGGTTTCATTAACGTTATAAACTTCATTCAGTTTCCGGGTCAGAATTGTTCCTCTGTACCTCATGGTTAACGTTAGAGCTGGCTACCATGGGTATCTGGTCAGACTCTGTGAAAATGCCGACTCTGTGTCATCGTATCACGACGTTGTTGCACGTCGATCACGAATCAAGCATTTCCCCAGACAAAGACTATTTACAGGTCGCGATATGACTGGAGATGAGATGAAGAGAAATTGGGTTCAACGTTGCGTTCAAGAGATTGTTGCATTTTCATAGACGTGAACGCACGCTTGTGTGTGTCTGTCTGTCAGCTTGTACCAGCCGGGATTAATATCGGTTTTATCGTGCTAGCCCACTGAGATACCATGCTGTAGTTTAACATGGATACCCAACTCAGACACAGTATACCGACTCCGAGCGGACCTGTTCTTGTTTTTATCCCCTTTATGGCGAGCCCCAGGCATGGTAACAACAAGTACCAGATTTTAACGTCTTTTGGTATGACGCGGCCGCGTATCGAACCTTCGACTTCCCTCCGGCAGACGCTCTATCCACAAGACCACCGGGGTGGTCCATATGGCTTGAATATCGCACACATAACACAACAAACAAAGTGTAATTACAAAGGGTATAAAAATGTGTTGTTTTATACATACCCAGTAGTGACAAACTTTCCGAAGTCTTTGGCATAACGTCACTTATAATCCCCAAGTAGACAGTAAACGACAGCAGCACGGTGACGGCTAAAGCCATACGTTCTCCACAATCAGCAGGTAAAATGAATACCAGTACATTCAGCAGTGATAGCATTACCACGGGGATGATGGTATTCAATATGTAAAATGTCCTCTTTCTACGGAGGTGCACTTGGAACGTAACGCCAGTGTGTTCTGTCCCGTTACGGTACGTGGAGGGGTATGCATAGCGTTCTGCTTTCGTATTAGTGATATCCCATTCGCCATTTGGTAGCGTAGGTTCCAGGTGAATTTTATCATGACCTGGGTCCACCCGTAGAGTTCTGTTTGTATGCATCCAAGTCAAGAATCGAATATCACAAATTTGAGAGTCAAATGGGTATTTTCCTATATTAACTGCACAGCTGGTTTCAACGACAATACCGGGTTCCCAGACTATGAGGCCGTCACGATGAACGCTTATCAGCATGGCGTCATTCCCCAGTTCACGGTAATTTTGTGCTCTGAAATGATAAAGAACAAATACTGTATCAATTTAATTTATCAAAGTATGAAATTTGAAACCGCATATCACCGTGTTATTGGTTTTCGGACGCTAAAGAAACATTCGTAGTTTTCTAGGTAATCACAAGAACAACAGTAAAACACTCCCCTTTCTTAGTATGTAGAACGTATGTGACGTCACACCCCGATTAGCAATACACATGGTCGTCCGAAAACGTATGATGTCCGAAAACATATGATCCTACGTTATATATCATGTCCCAAACCACTTGTTTCTTTCTCAGTACTTTGGGTTATATAACATAGTACTTTGGGTTATATATTAAAATCAATGTATGCAAAGTTTAAGTTTTAATGGTCATTCTCCATGATAACTCCATGGATATTTGAACATTATATATTGGGATACAGCAATAGAAATGACGTGTTAATATGCATTGACGTACCAACACTGTGTCTTTTCTTAAAAGCACTTCATCCGATAATTACTGGTTATTGGTTACAAAGTCTGCATTATTTGGTAATTGTATGAAAACAAATACAGGTAAGTAAAGATATGTAATCATAAAAACGCGGGAGAGTTTATTTTTCTTCTTTTCGATGAACCCTGGTATTTACGTTTCTGAAGTTAAATTTATTTGCAATATCGTAATAGCACACTTGAGACACAGAATAGCAAATATGTGACATTATCATGTAGATACGTGATATGGGATGATGGATATTTGTATTGGATACATGAACACATAGTTTTCGTAAACTATATCAGGACATAATCCAGTTCAAATTACTTAGTTGACATTTGTGCTTGACGATCACGATATATACTGAGAGGCACAAATAACGCATACTCAAATTTAAGTTTCAATAATTTTTTACTGAAATGAAATATACAAATGACAGTCAATACAAATGACTAATTTAAGATTACACTGATGAATTTCATGAACAGTTACTGTGTGACAAAGAATTAATGTCTATGAAAATGATGTCAAAGGCGAGTGGTGTCAATAACGAGTGTGTCCTCCTTGTGCAGCAATGCACGCTTGAAGCCGGCGAGGCATTGAGAGACACAGTCGACGAATTGCAGCCTGAGGGTAACGTCTCCAATGATGCAGAAGAGCTTGAGTCAGTTGTGGAACCGTCTGTGGAGGATTTTGTTGACGTCGGACACGGCGGCCAAGTTCATCCCACAAATGTTCTATAGGGTTCAAATCTGGGGACCTTGAAGGCCCGTCCAACACATTAACGTTGTTCTGTTGCAAGAAGGCATCTGTTATCCTGGCAGTGTGAGGCCTTGCATTGTCATGTTGAAAGACATGGCGACGTAAACCACGTTGAGTCAGTAATGGCAGCAGAACAGGCTGTAGAACGTTGTCGATGTAACGTCTGGCATTAAGGTTCCCCTTAATAACAACAAGATCCGAGCGGAAATTTGCATTGATTGCTACCCAAACCATAACACCTCCACCTCCAAACCGATCACGTTCAATAACACATGGTTGTGTAAATCGTTCATGTTGGCGTCGGTATACACGTAAACGTCCATCAGGGTAGCTGACTGTGACACGTGTTTCATCAGAAAAAACAACTTGTCTCCAATCTCTACCACCGAGATTACCTCCACGAGATGCACATCGCTGCCTTGCTAGCCTGTGTGCCTGAGTCAAGATTTGTCCACGGTAGTATCGTCGACACCTCAAATTCCTGGCAGACGTGAAGCAATTTCTGAGGTGGCTGTTAACGATTTGACGATCTTTGTCTCTGTGACGTCACAGGCGGTGCACCTGGTCGAGGACGGTCCCTAACGCTGCCTGTGGTTCTCAACCGCTCATGTAATCTCGATATTGTCGTTTCATGGCAATGGAAATGAGCAGCAACTTGTTCTTGGGTACGACCAGCATTCAACGTCCCCATTGCTTCATTACGCTGATCTTGCGTTAACATTGGCATTGTGTAGGCAAGTGATGGCAAAATGTCATGGTGTGCATTTATAGGGCCTCCCTTTGAGGTTTGCACGTGCATCATGCCTTTCACAAAATGTGCATCGATAGCAGCATTCCCAGTGGTGTGTTGCGTTTTGGTGATTGGCTTCGTTTCCAGAAACAGTTTTTGTTTGCAACCCATACGACATGTTTACAGTAATAACCAACAATGGACAGTGTCAACAAGGTAAAATGTAAACGGACCTCATATGTTCTTAACAAATTATATCTTAAAATTGAGTATGCGTTTCTAATGCCTCTCAGTATATACATTTTTTTTATGTAACGACTGAGTTTTACGAAGTTGAGAAAAGTGATATTTACATTGCAGTGAACAGAACACTTGATATTTCACTGCTGACAACATACACTGTAACACTTTGACGGAACTATTGTGATACAAGAGTTACCTCCCCCGCAAATTGACTCCTTTTGTCGTTAGTGTCTGGGCGGTAAACAAGCTGTTATCTTCCTTTTAACGTTAATTTTACATTGGCAAGGTGAAATAATATAGTGACAGATGGTTATTTATGAAGATAATATCACTTCTTGCCGTTTGTGATTCTCTCGAAACTGTTTCGTTATAAACCATAAAATTTATCATTTAACTCGTCAATCGAGACTGTTAGTTTCGCAGGCTCCATTTTCGTTACTAGAACAGCGTGTATTCTTTCGCTTCCAACAGCGATCTTGTAGATTTCAAGAATATTTTTTGTTGAAGTTGATTTTATATTAATCATATCTAAATGTACGATAAAGACCATTCAGATGACGTGACCTTAAATATTTTTATTTTTTTTGTTTATATTTGTTAGATGTCGCAAACCCGAAACTACTTTTTAAGACGCAAATAAAAGGGTTGGTGAACCGTCTCTTTGTGTTAGGTAGGGAGAATATGCGTTTCAAGGTTTTACATTAGTAACGAAACAATGTCATGTTCCGGTAGACAACTACACAGAAGGTACATGTATATAATAAATAGGATATTCCATGCGTCTCTCGTGAGATATCATGTTTCTCTCATCTCGTGACGGGGGAAAATGAAATATTTACACACGTGAAGTAATGTTTCCCCTCTCCCCCCACCATCCCCAGTCACTCGATGAGAAAAACTTGATATTTCACCCGACACGTGAAATATTTTTTATACCTATATATACTACATACTGACAAGGACACTATATATGTATATGCCAACGCATAAAGGAGCTATGTATGCAAACTGTATGGACAAAGAAGTTATATATATATATCAACTGTACGAACAAGGAAGTTATATATGTCAACAGACAAAGAAGTTATATATGTCAACAGACAAGGAAGTTATATATGTCAACTGTATGAACAATGAAGTTATATCTTAGAGCCATAAAGGCCAATGTCATGTGGAGTCTGTTTTAAGAAAAGTGATGAAAACACATAATATTATGCATGTTAATGAACTTTTTTTTACCGATAAATTCCTAGACATTAACGCATTCTCACAGCAGAGACATAAATGTTGTTATAAAAAAAACATTCAAAAAAGGAAATAAACTTATGTTTTTAATTTGTGTAAGGGGGGAAAGGGCCAATGCCGGTATTTTGGCCCTTTTTTACCCTCAGGCATTTGCATGGGATTTAATATGTGAGCTTGATAAACTACTACTGCAAAACAGTTTCACTATTCTTGAAATCGATGAACTCTGGTATCTAAATTCCAATATTCTAACCTTATGAGCAATATCGAAATGGGACACTAATTCCCATGAGCGTTATATAGGAGTATGAAGTGGAATAAGACCCGGAAGTGCCATCAAAGTGGTATACTCTTTAGGTCCGCTTGGTACGCATCTGGGTTTTCCTCCTTCGACAAGCTAATAAGCCGTGATGTAACTGAAATACTGCCAATTGGAATTAATTAAATTATGTAAAATAATAAATTTATGAAAATATTTCATAATGTTAATTCCAACTCGATCCTTCATTTGAAGGAGAAAGCAATATTGAACCGTCGCTGTATACGTCTATACCCCGACACAGTAATACTGAAGAGACACAAGCTATCCAAGACTATTGAAAGTATTATGTCCATAACAATTGATGATTACCAATCTCTGGAATGATTTTAGATATGGTAATACTTATCAGTTATTCCTATATGTAAATGAAAACAGTTACTTGCTACACAAGCAAAAAATTATTTTGTGTACGTGTTGTGTATCCAGTTGTGGAACGTGCACAAATAAAAATAATATTTTTTCATAAAATGACGTCGTTATTCTCTAACATGGCATGACATATAAATGGCATCATAGTAAATCGGTATCCTAAGATGCAATTATGTGAGCAAATCCTTGGCTTCGTCGCATCCATGTTTATGACAGTGGAGCTTTCCGTGACTCTACATAGTGTAGATTGGTCATATTAATGGCTCACAGATGCAATTACGGCCATGAATTATTATCCACTGGACGTAATGTGGTTACTTCCATAACAAGACCATCCAGGAGGACGACAATGCAGTCAGGACAAACGGAAGAAACGACCCAGTGGTCAAGAGACGGTAATTATACAATGGTCTTCGTGGTGGTCGAGACCATTAACTGGCCAATTCATTGCAGCGGTTATTGGTGGTCACTTTGACCACAATATACAAGGCCAGCCATTATATACTTGCGGCACAAGCGAAGGCAATTTACACAGTGTATTATTTACCGTTTTTATCCGGTAGTAATTTTCTTCGTATGAACTGTTTCGTAATCTATTGAGATGGCGTGTGCCAAAATACCAGACATTTTACAAATCAGTTGACTCATGTCTTTGCTCTGCGATTGTTTCGCTCAGTTATCCGGACTCCATGTCCGGCAATAAATGGCAAGTAATTCATTTCAATTACAGTTAATGGACACCATTACGATTCTATTTACATATAACACTATGACGGCATTTCATATCGTTTTCAGTGGAATATTATTTTGATATGCGACCAATTATTAAGTAATTTATATCGACGTGCATGGGAATTTTATCCAAATCACCCTTCAGCGTTGTATAAGAAGTGTCAGGAAAGTGTCCTTTGATCTAAGACTAGACTGTATGTCTAATGAACTTATAGATTCAATAGTACCTGATAATCAATTAAGCTTCCAAATTACGCCTACCGAAGAGACACCCGCCTGCTCTTACACGTTTAAACCGTTGGTAGTAACATTGCGTTTATAGAAACATAATTCATTTGAAACTGTCACAGATTCTGTACACACTTTATCGCGATGTACAATATATTACATTCGAACCCCGTTGTCCAGAACTCGGATGTGTCGAATCCGGTCCCGACAAACTCTTACTATATTCGTCACTTTTAAAATGGGATGTGTCGAACTGGATGTGTCAAATTCGCGGTGATCTTGAACTCAATTCACACACACACACACACACACACACACACACACACACACACACACACACACACACACACACACACACACACACACACACACACACACACACCTGCATGTAGGTCGCTTTATAAGTGTATTAATCTTCAACGCGACCCCAGTTCATCTCATCAGACCTGACCTCTGACGCGCCTTTGTGTATGGAGAAAACGTGTAAGCGTAAGTAAGTCAAATGTAACGAGAAACACGGGGTTTGATCAATTACTTAAGTTTCTATTTGTTTCAGTGACAAATAGAGATGACAACACGACGCGATATTTCACTTGCGTTGTTTATGCTTGAAATGTTCCACATTCCACTTGGTCCGGCTGACAAGAAGGTATTGTTATTGACCACTTTGCGTTTTACCTTTATTTCGGCTTGTTCTATTAGATTCATGCAATCCTATGTAAAGATACATGTTGCAACGCTATGATTCATGCAATCCTATGTAAAGTTACATGCTGCAACGCTATGATTCATGCAATCCTATGTAGTGTTACATGTTGCAACGCTATGATTCATGCAATCCTATGTAAAGTTACATGCTGCAACGCTATGATTCATGCAATCCTATGTAAAGTTACATGCTGCAACGCTATGATTCATGCAATCCTATGTAAAGCTACATGTTGCAATGCTATGATTCATGAAATCCTATGAAAAGTTACATGTTGCAAGGCTATGATTCGTGACAGGCGGTAAGGTAAAGTTAAAGTTTTGATGTTTATAGCAAAATGTGACAAATATTACTTTTATAATACATGTTTAATATATGAATCAGTAATGACAATGCAAAACGTGATGTAATTTTGCGTTGCATCGATACATTGGTGTGTCGTGACGCCCTAAGTTACAAACATACTTACGTGTTCTCCACAAATAAATCTGGAAGCCAGACCTCCCTCTGGAACACAATGACTTCATCAATGCCACCGTAGTCAGTCTCGTTCCAGGTAAGGAACTGGTCTTGCCATTCCTGCAAGTAAACGAGGGTAGATGCAAAACAACGCAGGCACAAATATAGGATTCCCGTGAATTAGCCCCAATCAGTAAAAGTCGACTGTACGATTACAACTACATAATGATACAGTAAACTACGGTTATAACGAACACGCTTATAACGAACTTAATTTTAGTTCCGGCCATTTGATGCATATATGCTGTATATGTGTTTATAACGAACTACGGTTGTAAGGAACTAAAATTAGTGGTCCCTTTGAGTTCGTTATAACCGTAGTTTACTGTAGTTTGTTTATGAATCACTATCAAGTAGTGATGACACCAGGTGTTCGCGAAATATAAGCTTCCTGACACACCGGTGCAAATGCAAAGGCTAGTCAACTGTTCACCTGAAAAAACACCGGAACATATCATGGCACAAATTGAATCGGACATCATTCTTGTCACTGATGCGTCAAATTTGGAAACATCCTCCACATTTCTACCATAATACTTCTACAAGCATTATAGAGACCTTGAATATTGTAACCATGATCAAACAGATTCTGAGCAAGAGTTGTTTGACGCTCTTTGATATTTGGTAGATAGAGCATGCTCGATTGTACCTCAAAAGTTGTGCAATGTAGACACCAAAGGTTTCTGCTCCTGTAATATTGAATAGATTAATTTGTATTCATTGGCCATTGGTATCGAATGAGAACAAATAGAGAACAACGTGAAGGTGTTTTTGTGTGTAGAGATAATGTCCTTACCAAACTTAAACACCAGCAAAGGAGATATTCTCGATGGTCACCAGGTATATTTGCATTCGTAATTAAGGCTACATGATGCTTTTCTCACTAACGTCTCCCTTATAATTGTAATTATTTATTTGTTTTTCATTTCTTTTGTACAGCTTAAACTATTTTAAGTTTTATCCGAATACAAGTGACAGGTTACATCTCTTTATTGTTTCAACTGGAACAGGTGTAAGTAAAATGGTGAGTGAGTGAGTGAGTTGGGTTTAACACCGTTTTGAACAGTATTACAGTTATATCACGGCGTGTCAGCTTGATTAGGGAGGAAAGCCCGATGTGATGCAGGTTTCAAACGTTTACCACTTTGGTGAAACCCACGAGCACGGGTATGGTGCTAACAAACCTAGACACATAATCGGGGCGAATAATAGGTACGCAACCCTGCACAGCGAACTGCGGCACCTTAGACGACTGGGCCACCAGTGCCCCCACAAGTAACATACATGTGGGTTATTAGTGCTATAGTTACAAAGTTTTCAAACTATTCATAAATGCCACAGCGAGACATAATAACTCAACTCATCTATCAGGTTTAGGAGCTGAAAAAAATATTCAGAACATAACGGATTGACAAACAGAAGTCTATCCTTGAGTTAAAACTAATTCCATTTCTGTCATTCTAGGGGTGTCTGGCTAAACCTTGATATCATGATTCCAATTTTAGATTTATTGTTGAGAAGGCTCATTGCTATCTCACTCCTCCGCCGTACTGGATAACACCGGAATTCTCCTGCTGAACGTTTCTCTCAAGTAGCAGAAATATTAAGAAAATTACAATTGCGCCTCGCTTTCGAGAGAGAGTCGTACATCACGCAGAGACACCGTCTTGCACATAAATCAAAGAGTCTGGTGCAGCTTGCGGAGAGTCCTCCCAAATGTTTCCCATAAACAAGTTTTTGTCCTCGCTATTATTTCGCTGGTCGATGGTAACTGTCTCGGATAACAGACATTGTGCCTTCTAATACTTTATACCTTGAACTGGCATGTTTTAATCGAATTAGACATGTGATAGATTTCCTTCGCAAACTGATGTGCGCATAGAATAGGATATTCCTGAGTGATTGCTTACGAATAATATGATCACGATTTAAGATGGATAAGATGCTAAAAGAGCAATACAAAAGTGACACTGTTGAAACGTATATATTTCGACCATGCAATACACTCACTTGTATTAGTTATAGGCGATTGATATACATATACATTTTTTTAATGTGATTGACAGTTTGAAGAGCATTTTGACAAAGATTTACTTTGTTTGTCATGAAGATAAAAGGATTGTCACATGTTGACCAAAACTTATCACACTGGTTCATATAAATGGGAATTAAACCTTTGGCTTTTTAAAAACATAATAATAAAAAACAAACAAATGTAGACGTATATGATTATATGTTTCAGTGTCATTTAGAGGTTTTTGACCAAACCTCGTTTCTTATGGTAAAGACAGCAGGAACATATGGGGGAAAATTGAATTGAACAATTAGACATTCTATTGCAAAAAATCGGCCTTTTCTACTTATTTCAGCTTTCATAAAAACTTTTTTGTGACTACGAATTATTCATTTCCGTTTCACCAAAACGCATTTTCATCGTACATGTACCTCGTTCTTTATCGAAATTACCACCCGTAAAATTTAATGACTGCTATGTTGTCGTCTATGTATCGACGCTTCAATTCTAATATACCATGTAAAGCCGTGTTTATCAGGAAACTAATGAAGTCAAAATTGTTCTACACAATCACCATAACGACAAAACGATGTTGTCGACCATAACAGTGAACTGGAGGCGCGGTAAATCCTGTTCAGAACTGTCAATTATAACAAGTTGATATTGTGGAAGGATTCGAATGAGACTTGCCAAAATAATGTTCCTTTGTTCCCAACCAGCCAAAGCCTGGCCTTGAGATCTAGATTACACTCGTTTGTCGATTCCATTAAAAGACACATACATAGTATACAATGTATGTCGTGGACAAAACCTTAGATGCGTCATTAGCCGAGTTTTTGAGCAAGGAATAAACATCCTTTCACTGACGCAAAACAGTAAACACTCTGGACCACCGGCAAGATAGAATTGTCTTGGGGGCGGGTACATGTTCACGAATTTCGATCTAAAACTTTACTCGAGGACAGTACCAATTTGCATAGAGAACAGTTGACAGTTATTGACTTTTGCAAAGGGGACTATATATCCATGGTGCCAAGGGCGGAGGAAGGCATTAATTGGGGGGCGGCTAAAGGAGGAAACTGAAGAGACGTGACTAAAACAATAACTAAAGTCCGTCCTCAGTCTCCCCAGGGAGCATGGGACTGTCTGTTATAATTCGAGGATGGGAACTGAAGACTTTGTGGAGGAGTCCTCGGGAAAGGTCCTTACAATCAATAGTTTCCAGGGGATACGTCTGTTGGTTGAAGATCTTATTGTGCCTAGCCAGTTAGCGATTAAGTAATTCTGTTTGGCCTGTGTGTAATGTGGGTGAATTTGTAACAAGTTGTTTGTCTTATGAATAGAGTCAACACGCTCCAAGCTGGGCGGATTTGTCTTCTTGAAAGTCACAATTCTCCTTCAAACTGAATTTCTGGCTTACCCTTCCGATCGATTAAGTAGTTCTATTAACAGTTGTCATCTCTGGCATCAAGACTTGTCGAGTCAACCTTCCCATGACAACTGATTTTAATACCGTTATATTTATGTCCTTTATGTCGAGCAATATTCCAGCAGCTTCAGATCCAGACTTTGGTGTCCAGATTTCACAACTTTTGAGGTTTCCACACGTTCATACGTTTCAAGGATTTCAGAAATTTTATGGTAAACATATCGAGGAAATTTCCAAATTTGACGTATCGGTAACAAAAATATATCCCTATTTTGACTTGTATCTTTTGTTTCCGTGTGTTGTTTCAGGGGTACAATTGACTTGCCACTGCATGTGTTTGTGACGGGTGGCCCCGGTTTGGCAAGTTGCGCTCGCCTTTCCGCGAACGCCTCGTATTAATATATACTGATTCACAGACGCAGGCTCATGATATAGTTGAAATCGTATAATGGTCTTTGCTTTTTGAATATATTTCTTTTAATTTTGGAAATGTTTTTGACGGTTTTTTTTAATTTAACTTGTCACAATATCTGCACACCGCTCAAGGTGGGATCTATTTTTGTCTATCTTGGTTTTCACGAGCACAGTACTAAACTATATGTTTCCAAATCAGTTTACTGTTGTATTAAAACGTCAGTGGCAAGGGGATATACATCTTCGAATACATGCCGACAGAAAAGAGTCGGTATGATCAAGAGTCGATACTAGTATATCAATATGATCAACAAAACACATCATAATTGAATGATGTATTCCTATTTCGGACAATGTCTGGCAATGTCAATCATCAAGACAAGTAAAATATTCTGCATTGATGTTCCTTAAAGACAATGTATTATACGGCCAAAGGGAAACAAATAAAAAAAATAAGATTTAAAAAGTAGGACACCGTTTATCTGAAAGAGCTAAACTGATTGATTCAACTAACGGCACTCAGGATAATGTATGCTAATGATGATAGTTGGCTGAACACTGGCCTCTCATTGTAATTACTGGGATCAAGGAGCAATCTTAAGTTCAGTTCGAGCATAGCTTCTAAACGAATGGGCTGAATAAACACAGAGAACCATCTTCACTTAGTTATGTACAATGATGATACTGGGGAAGTGGAATTTGTGGCTCTTGAGATATTTGGCACTCAGTATGAAAAGTCATTTTTGGGATCTGCTCTATATATTTTATTTGATAGCTATAGAAAATAATGTTCAATTGTTTGGCTATTATGTAAGCTTGCCTTTTCCCAAAAGATCAATTACCGCCTGCACGGTCTAGTGGTAGAGCGTCCGCCCGGTGAGCGGAAGGTCCGGGGTTCGTTCTCAGGCCGCGTCATACCAAAAGACGTTAAAAGATGGTACTCACGCACGCACGCACGCACGCACGCACGCACGCACGCACGCACACACTTGCATGGACGCCGCTATATAAGTGCAATAATCTTGGACGCGACGTTAAACCCCATTTCACCTCACCTCACCCAAAAGATCATTTACGTGAAAAATCCGGAATATGTCTTGCCATTGCAACCACACTGCCTGTTTGTTGTTTAACGCTGCACACAACAACATGATGGAGACTCGGTCCTGTAAATAATCTAGTCTGGACTAGAAACAAACAGTGGTTGATATCATGAGCAACGATATGGGGGTCCGATGACACGTATGTAACCAAGTCAAAGAGCTTGACCACCCGGTCCCTGTAGTCGTATCATAGGACACAGACTGGGTCATACTTCCCACCGCTTCATGCAGTGTGATTTGAAGAACATAAAATAATTTTATCAGGGAGAAGATTCGTGTTGGTTAATCATGACAACGTGAACACTGATTGGATGTGTGTTTCGGTGAGACTATGACACATGTCTGGAATTACTTTCTTTCATGGCATTATCGACCCCGTTTGGTTTCAGGCGATTCTGCAAAGATTTCAAAGAGTCTCATACGACTCTTGCTCAAAAGTTGTTTGAACAGAGTTATTTCACGCAAGACTTCACTAAAGCTTTCGAAACGGTTATAGTAGACTTCATTTTGATTTAAAACATGTTTTTTTTTCAGGTGAACATTTTCAGGATACGCTCACCTTTTCGTCACTATTTGATAGCGCTATATAAACACAAAGTCGGAATCGTACAATGGACTCTGTGTGTAGCAGAGATTTCATATAAATATGGAAAGGGTTTTGTCGTTTTTATTTACAAAATACATACAGAATACGTGCAAAACGTTACGCCTTTGCCCTGTCTGATTTACAGATAATCTTTTAGAAATAGATAAGTATTAATGGTTGGACGCTACATGTATCATCCCATCCCATATATAACATTTGTTACATTTGACCACTTTCTAAATGGCATTGTGTATTCCGTGTGTGTGTGTGTGTGTGTGTGTGTGTGTGTGTGTGTGTGTGTGTTTGTGTGTGTGTTTGTGTGTGTGTGTGTGTGTGAGAGAGAGAGAGAGAGAGAGAGAGAGAGAGAGAGAGAGAGAGAGAGAGAGAGAGAGAGAGAGAGCTTGTACTAGTCCGGACAAATGCCGATTTCATAGTGCTAGCCCACTGAGATATCATGCCGCAGTGTAACATGAATACCCCACTCAGACACAGTATACTGACTCCGAGCCGACAATCCTTGTTTATCCCCTTTATGCCGAGCGTCAGGCAGGGTAACAACAAGTACCATCTCTTAACACATTTCGTATGACGCGGTCGGGGATCGTATTCCAGACCTTCCGCCTCTCCGGGCAGACGCTCTACCACTTGACCAAGGAGGCGGTTGCTTGTCACAGGAGCCGACTTGGAGCCGTGTTATCATGTTTCGTTGGCGTTGAACTTTGATCTTAATTTCAGAGAATGGAATGCCTCGTCCAGACTCGTCACTATCACCACGGACCACGAAGGCTATTCCTGCTTTAACTTTTCCAGAACTGAATCCAGTTATTTACAGGCCGGCTTAATATTTGGTTGGTTGGTTGGTTGGTTTGTTGTTTAACGCCGCACTCAGCAATATTCCAGCTATATGACGGCGGTCTGTAGATAATCGAGTCTGGACCAGACAATGCAGTGATTAATATCATGAGCATCGATCCACGCAATTGGGAAACGATGACATGCATCAACCAAGTCAGCGAGCCTGACCACCCGATCCCGTTAGTCGCCTTTTACGACAAGCATAGTCGCCTTTTACAGCAAGCATGGGTTGCTGAAGACCTATTCTACCCCGGGTCTTCACGGCTCCGGCTTCATATTGCTGAATGCGGCGTTATACATCAAACACATAAAAAATGGACATGAGAAATAAAACTATACATATCCATAAGCAATACTAAGTACACATATCTACATTGGACACTGTTCAGTGGAATAACTATACAGTAAACTACGGTTATAACGTACTCAAAGGGACTACTATTTTTAGTTCGTTATAACCGTAGTTCGTTATAAGCATATATACAACATAACTACAGCGAATAGTCGGGACTAAAAAGTTAGTTCGTTATATCCGTCAGTTCGTTATAAGCGTGTTCGTTATAACCGTAGTTTACTGTATTTTGCTGCACAATATCTTCCTTCGCTAAGGCACGCTCAATCCGTAAATGTATATGGAGCTCAATTACATGCCACGTTAAATGATTAGAGTCTTCGTTTAGTGATCGGTTGAAAGGACTAGCTGTGAATGTATTGACTGTGACTGTTAGCGTGGTTATGTGCAATAACTGCGTCAGTGTATGGCTTCATTACAGAAGAACTAAAGCAGAAGAAACTAACAGCAATGTCAAGTGGAAGAAATCATTCACAACAAACAAACACATAATGATATATTGTATCATATACTATTTAATGATGAATTGCTATATGTATTTCAAAATAAAAAAAATCTTTCCCTCAGTGTATTAATTATTCACACGGCAACTATTTTCCTCGTCAAACAGAGTTGTCACTCCATTGTGTACTTCTACTGTCGACATTGTATGGATGGTATTATGTTTCACACTTGAGGGAGAAATACATGACAAATAAAACTGTTTTTTAGACAAAATTAAAGTGGTAAGCGTCTAGGATCGCCATAACCTCGGGTTTCCCTCCTTCGAAAAAACGGTTCAATGTAGCATTATATTCAACTCACGCACTCATCCCCGTTGTCAAAAAAGTGTTTATCTTATCTCGTAGACCGCCCCCGTGGGTAGAGCGTCCGCCTGGAGAGCGGAAGGGCCGGGGTTCCATCCCCGGCCGCGTCATACAAAAAAAACGTTAAAAGATGGTACTTCTTGTTACCCTGTCTGGTGCACGGCATATAAGGGGCTAAAACAAGGATTGGTCAGTATACTTTGTCTGAGTGGAGTATTCGTGTTAAACTGCGGCATGGTATCTCAGTGGGCTGGCACAATACATCGGTATCAGTCCGGACAAGTACAAGCAGCCACACACACACACACACACACACACACACACACGTGCATGCACGTCGCTATATAAGTGCAATAATCTTGGACGCGACATTAAACCCAATATTTACTTCACCTCTTATTTTGTAACCAGACCAATATTCCATTTTCACTCGTGACTGCACCACTCGTGGACGTATCTACTTTGTCAGGTCCCTCGATGGCCAAAACAAGCCAAATATTCTCTTTGTGAGATACAAAATAATGAAATATATATGAAATTGATATAATAATACATGGGATTCACATGTACAGAATGTGTTTCCAAACATCAAAGAAACAGTTTTCTTTATACTTCCGTTTCATTTGTTACGGACATGTCGTGGATCTTACGCAATTGTTTGATGGATAGACACGCATCAGTGGAATTACTCTTGTATTTTGAAATGTGAATATTACACATCGCTACTCGGAGACATTAATGGAACAGCCCAAAAGCTCAATATAGGATGAAACAAACTTCTGAAGTTGTTATACAAACCCCCACCCCCCGAAAAGATCATTTTGAAAACTATCATAATGATTCCTAAAGCTGATGGTGCGCCAGAGCGGTCGAGTACAAGTATGCCAAGTTGACTATCTTTCATTGACCTTTACACGATTTGTGCGCTAGCAATGCCGTTTGTTGTCAGCGTAAAACATGACGATTATAGATGTTATTTGTACTGATTTTTGCTGTGAATTTCCTAAAAAGTTGATTTTTTCGATTGAAACGTTCCCCGCTCCAAACCTACTAAAAGTAAGATTTTTTATGTTCCATTTTAATGCTCCCCAAGTTATACCTGATGTTTGCTGTTTTATTACGTTGTAGCAATAAGGAAGTATGAGAAAAGTTATATTTTTTCATATTTACATGTCCTTGATTCGACTCTTGCTGACAAGTCGTCAGTAAATAGTCGAAAACGTTTTATAGAGGGCATGTAGGGGACACATTTGACGCATCAGTGACAAAAATGACCTATTTTGACTTGCACCATGTTCCCGTGTTTGTTAAGGTGATCAACAAACTGGCACATGCGATTGTTTGCGTCGGGTGCCACCGGTGGGGTAGGATACGGTCACCTATTCGCGAACACCTGGGGTCATCTCTATTTGATTGTGATTCAAGAATACAATCATGCTTATGGTATAGCTGGAATGGTACAGTTGACTATGTTTTTAGTTCCGATTTCTTATGATTATGGAAATGTGTTTATTCGGTTATATTTAAAAAAAAATGCAAACACGATGTATGCATGAATAGTGCCAAAATGGTGGAAATGTGGAAATCATACTTACTATTTTTAACCAACCACTTGCTGTGAGCACTTGATTTTTCATATCCTGAAAGTATAAGGGGAAAGGTACATTCATGAAATGATTTAAATATTGTTAAAAGCTTTTTATATAATCAAATTACTTTGCAACCAATATGACATAAAATGTATTTATTAGTAACATAGCAAGGGATAATTTTAAAATTGGTCGCATGCATGATATTTCTTACCAGATGAGTTAGTGAGTGAGTGAGTATGGTTTGACGCCGCTTTTAGCAACATTCCAGCAATATCACGGCGGGGGAACACCAGAAATTGGCCTCTAAAATTGTACCCATGTCAGTTATCGAACCCTGGTCTTCGGCGTGACGAGCGAACGCTTTAACCACTAGGCTACCCGACCGCCCAGATGAACACAGATGAAACTGATGTTTCGGTACAGGTACAATTCAAATACCATGATACCCCGTTAATCTGCATGGTACCACTCACAGTTAAGCTGTCCGGATTAACATCTGTCCGGATTAGAGAATCACAAGTAATGTCCCTTTAATTATAATTACACGTTCTCAACCCACAGAAAGCGGGACTACCGGATTAAGATGTCCGGATTAACGAGGTTTCCTGTATTCAAAATACTGAAAATGACCGCAGATCTGTATTCAGGGTAATGAACTTTTAATGATATATTTATTTTAAAAACCTATTACATTACTAACATGACAATTGAAAACAAAAAGGAGGTAACTGTACATTCTATTGCACTAGGCGCGCTTATATATTGCGGCAAATTCAAACATGACTACTGAGGCATATACGGAAACCATTCCCTTTGTTAGCAGTTTTTCATAAAGTATAGGGGCGGTCGGGTAGCCTAGTGGTTAAAGCGTTCGCTCGTCACGCTGAAGACCCGGGTTCGATTCCCGACATGGGTACAATGTGTGAAGCCCATTTCTGGTGTCCCCCGCCGTGATATTGCTGGAATATTGCTAAAAGCGGCGTAAAACCATACTCGCTCATAACGTATAAGTAATAGTATTTAACTTTTTAGAATATTAAACCTCTCATGGATTACACAATCACCTGAAGGGAAACATAAATTTCTATAAGAATATTTTGAGTGAATAGATAAATATGTTCGTCATAACGTTACTCTCAATATGTAACGGGCTGTGACATTCTATTGATGGCGTCATACAGGGATATGACATCACGCAACGGTATCAGTCTCCTTCACTTTTATCGTAGAGCGATAGGCGTATGATCGTAAAATTGGAAATATCTCACTTTTATTTTAAAATGTAACGCCAAATCTCTACCGTTTGTCTTACCGAAAGAATTTAAATATGTCTTGAAGCACGACAGTAGCGCAGTAGCCGAGTGGACACAAAGCCATACCAGCAAACACCCTCAACATACAATATATAGAATGAAAGGATTCATGTACATACCGTACACTTCCATATAAAGGTCAGTTAATGCCATATACTTATACTATCTAGGTTATTGGTGACAAATTGTGCTCTTGAGGAAATTAAAATGATACGGTCAAAAGATTATCGCGTCAGCTCCTCACGAGACCAGGAGCAGGAAATTATTGTCCATGTTGACATTATGAAGATGATGAGGAGAACGATATCATCACTGATCCATTTTGAAAATAAAAACAATAATCCCACGCAGTATCACCAACGGACTCAGAAATATCTCGTCCATATTTGTAATCTGAAATTATGATCATCAACAAAAGGGTCCCTGGCCATTGGCATCTAAATCATAAACGGTAAGGGACATAAGAGCGTCATACGACTCTTGCTCAGAATGTTTACAAATTACAAGGTTACAACATTCAAGGTCTCAGTAAAGCTTTCAAAAAGTTTTATGGTAAAAATGTGGAGGACATTTCCAAGTTTGACGCATCAGTGACAAAAATGATATCAGATGCAATTCCCCATTTTGACTTGTACCATATGTGCCCAAGTTTTTTTTTCAGGTGAACAATTGACTTGCCTTTGCATGGGTTTGTGACGGGTGCCCCCGGTGGGGCAGGATTCGCGAACACCTGGTATCATTACTTTTTGATAGTGATTCATAAACACATGCTCATTATATAGTCGGAATTGTACAATCGAGATTGTTATTGGATATGGAAAGGGTTTGTTCGCTTTATTAACATGCATAGACTGATTCTTCCTATATTGCGCTGTTCGCAAATGCAAGCTGATAAAGATGATTGGATTTAGTGACGTCTTTTTTGAAGGATGTCGAATTATCAGCTATGACAGAAACGATTTAATGTAATGTCAAAATACAGGCAGAGAAAGCTGGTTTCTATGAATTACCAATCTGATAGCCATTAATCAGAGACAAGATGCCAAGCTTACCAATTCGTGGATCATAATGAGAAAAAAGTCCATATGAACTTGTGCTGATTCGCTTTGGTTATGAACAGGCACAATTCCACGACTATAATTTGAGAATAAATCCCTCCTGAGTCGTACCATATCCTGTGCTGTCGCCGTGGAACCTGTTAAAGAGACAGAAAGGGACATTAGAATCGGAAAGGTACACGAACGCTTTCCAAGGGCATAAGTAGCTTCATAAATCGCACCCATGCGCTGTCCTAAACTGTACGATTAGCTTCCTGATGTTATGTTGGGTTACTTAATATATTTGTGAAATGTGTTTTTTTAATAAAACCTGTTTTCTTAAATTGAGGTTTATGTTGTGTTATCGCTCCATGTACTGATTCTAGGGGATCGGTTTCGATAAGACCTGTTTTAGAAATCCCAAGGTGTTTTATCTTGTAACATACTGCATTAGCTAATTTTGTATAAATTTGGAATTCGAAGTATGGCCATGTAGTTTTCATTTTAAGTGAACGATACCTTCTGGCGTGTGTGGGGTGAGTGTTGGGGCGTGAAGGAGAGAGGATAAGTATTTTCTTATTTGCGGTGTGACTGATGAAGAGTATCTAATGCCCAGATACTTGTATTTCATGTGGAATGTCAAATGTCAGTATTTCCCTGCGTCCATACTCAATAACACCTGCTTATGGGTGAAAATGTTTTGTGAAATTATTAAATATTAACATTATCAGTAATGTTTCCTCGCACTGAGTCTTTCATTTTGGGGGACACGGGTGGCCCAGTCGTCTAAGGCGCCGCGAGTCGCTGTGCAGAGTTGCGTCCCTTGGGCACGCCAGAAACCTATGATTGTGGGTTCGAATCCCGGTTCGCCCCAGTTATGTTTCTAGGTTTGTCAGCACCATACCCGTGCTCGTGGGTTTCACCGAAGTGGTAAACGTCTGAGACCTGCATCACGTCGGGTTTTCTTCCACATTAAGCTGACACGCCGTGATATAACTGTAATACTGTTAAAAGCGGCGTTAAACCCAACTCACTCACTCACTTTCATTTTGCTTGAATTCTCAAATAACGTCGGTCTGGAATGCTATCATGTCAAATGCTTCCGTGATCCCGCACTGGTAGACAAATCGACATATCAGTTGCTCTGATAAATATTAGTTATACATATTATGCATAATAGATGCGGTATCCATTTCGCAAATTCGGAATTGATAAAAATATTAACGAAAAAGTATTCATACGCTGTCCACAAGGTTTCTGGGTTTCAAATCTCACGTGACAACCTTTTTCATCCAGTCAGAATGTAGCACACTCCCATTCATTTTGCCATGTTATGTGACTCCAGAGTTAAAAATAGTGAAGCTGTTTTACGGTGGCCTGTAAATAATCTTATCCGGCAAACCTTTGACGTAGGTATGATCATCAGGTATGATCAGCGATACCACCAAGCCTGATAATAATTTGTCGGCTTATACCACACGCATGAGCTACAAGGAGGGCTGATTGATCAGTACTAAGCTGCACGTAGAAGGAAATTCGTAATAGTGGAATCTTATGTTGTGGACATAGAGGTATATCCACAAAAACTTGGGTCAAATGAGGAGATTGTTTCGCTGTTGCAAGTCAGTGAAATAAGCAGAGGTCTATGAACTTTGGAGAAGGGCACGCTTGAAGAACGTACCGTCGTCAGATTGCAGATTGTTGTCTGACACTAAAGACAAGCAATAACGAATGGGGTCTGTTTCAATGTCAATTGAGCGATATGTAGCATAAATTGTTGTTTGTTTGTTTGTAGTTTAAAGCTGCACCCATAAATATTCCAGCTATATGACGGTGGTCTGTAAATAATCAAGTCTGAACCAGACAATCCAGCGATTGACATCATGAGCATCGACCTACGCAATTGGGATACGATGACATGCATCAATCAGGTCACCGTGCTTGGTCACCCTTTCCCGTTAGTCACCTCTTACGACAAGATTGGGTTCCTGAACACCGATGCTTACTCGGATCTTCATGGGTCTATGCAATTGAGTATTGTTGGGAACACGAATGGATATTTCTGGCATATTGCTAAACACAGCGCAAAACCAAGTCACTCACCCGTTGTTGACTTTATGACGTGGTCACTTCAAGTTAAAACCATGGGGTGTCTATCTGAGATCAAAATATATTGGAGTCTGAAGCATGTATCAACATGATTAGAAGTAATCATGATGATTAAGTCATAAGCCGTTAACATGATTGATACAAACCTATATCACAGACATCGGTCATATTATCACCAACTGATCAAGGTTCCATTGGCACTGGGCTAAATGTATTGTCTTCGATTTTCCTCTACGCAGATTCATGCATTTTTACCTCTGAAGAAGGTCCTACCTGGACCAGAACGCAATTCACTTCTACCCGAACAGGGAGCATGATTAGCTTCGACCGAACGCTAGGTGATGTGGGTCAATAATTTTATATCTGTCCTGTCCAACTACGTTTCTACGTTGGGCAATGTCTGTAGAATATATATGAATTCTGTTCGAGACCACCACCGAATACAGTTGTTGTCCACAATGTCGACACTAATGCTTTCTCTTACAGACTTCGGGTCATGCACTAACTCGCTGGGAGACGACACCCACACAAAAGGCCAGCCGCTCTTGATGAGGTAACAACGTGTGGTTCTTCAGATGACCATCTATTCCCGTGTGACGTATGCACACTTACAGGATGGTACAACAGCGTTTGATTTCATTCAATCCTGAAAATTTAGGAAAAGTGTTCGTTCGTCACGAAGGCCCCGGGTTCGATTCCCCTCATGGGTAAAATGAATGAAACGCATTTCTTTGACAGTCCCCCCTCCCCCTGAGGAATTGATGGACTATTTCTCAAAGAGGCGTAAAATCCATTTCACTCACTTATCCCTAAGCAACATGTATGACTGTAGTAAGGTATGACATGAACTTTGACGGCCTCCGTGGTGTGTCCGGAGAGTGGAAGGTCGGTGTTCAATCCCCGTCCGCGCCTTACCAAAAGACAATTAAAGATGATACTTGATGTTACCCTGCCTGGCGCTCGACATTAAGGGGCTAAAACAGGGACTGGTCGGCTGGGAGTTAGTGTATTGTGTGTGTTGGGGATATCAGTGGTAAAGTGCGCCTTGAAGCCGCATTTGTCTGCACCTGTACACACACAGCCACAGCCACAGCCACAGCCACACACACACACACACACACACACACACACACACACACACACACACACACACACACACAGACGCGCGCACTCACACACAGAGGGAACAGTGAATGCTCTTCACTGTATAAGTTCAACAATCTTGAACGCTACTTTAAACCCCATTTCACCACCACCACTTAAACTGTCCATTATTGGTCCCGTGTGGCGAATATCGTGCAGAAAAGGTCCCATGCCATGTACCTCAATCTAGAAGTAAGAGCCGAATGCAATGAAGATATGGTGATAACGGTTTGTGAACCTAGAAGACTCGGTGTCATCGTGCCCCGACGGTGTGGATGGCTCATTCTATCAGTTCGTTACAAGTCTGCTAGGCTCCTTTGATGAGCTGGAATACGTATGCGGCATATACAATTCACTCGACATTCACTATCTCGCTGTTATAATGATTCTATTAAAAAAGTATCTGAAATAAATGAAATATTTCAAAAATGAAATAGATTATTTCCAAAAGTTCTCAAATCCAAAGAACTATTCAATATCCAGGATTTGTTTTTTAGAACGTATTTTGGAAACAGACACTGAATTCCGCTAACTCAGAATTGACAGAATGTGAATAACTCCTTGTATGGCTTGAATCTAATAAATAGACTGTTTCCCTGTCTCACTCCCACTTCCATCGGGATGTAATCTAATGATTCAACTTCTGGGTGGCGTATACAACACTAAACGTGTCAAGTAATGTTCCAACTACAAGGAACAGAAGATCATGGTGACGGACTGGACGCTCAAGCAGACCAGTAATTAAAACAAGTAATTATTTAACGTCATATAGTCTTCCACTGCAACCACTTCTCCAATCCCAGAGGGGTTATCAGAAAGGAATTAGGCAGATGTGGCTGCAACTCTCTGGATTTGACAAGATCTAATGGGTTTAAGGGCGACTGTCTAACTAATGAACGTGGTTAAATACACCTTGAGGCACTGGTTTGTGGGCACTATCTGTGTCGCTTGACTTCACTGATAGAATGGACTTACACAATGTCGGATATGTAAGGAAAAGCGCTGTTTACAAGGGAAAATCGAAATATAGTCTGTTGCCACCGTTCGTAAGGGCAGACGTTGCTTGCAAAAGCTCATCTAGACACTGTTGCAGCTATTGGTAAGGACAGGCGCTGTTGGCAAGACCTAATCTGGATGCAGTCTGATGCACCTGTAGGTAACGAAAGGTTCCGTTTACAAGACTCTGAGCTAATCTGTATACAATCAGCTGTAGGTAAGGACAGGCGCTGTTTACAGCAGCTAATCTAGGTACTAATCTGGATACAGTCTGTTGCAGCTGCAGGTAAGGACGGGCGCTGTTTACAGCAGCTAATCTAGGTACTAATCTGGATACAATCTGTTGCAGCTGCAGGTAAGGACAGGCGTTGTTTACAGCAGTTAATCTAGGTACTAATCTTGATAGTCTGTTGCAGCTGCAGGTAAGGACAGGCGCTGTTTACAGCAGTTAATATAGGTACTAATCTGGATACAGTCTGTTACAGCTGCAGGTAAGGACAGGCGCTGTTTACAGCAGTCAATCTAGGTACTAATCTGGATACAGTCTGTTGCAACTGTAGGTAAGGATAGGCACTGTTTACAGCAGCTAATCTAGGTACTAATCTGGATACAGTCTGTTACAGCTGCAGGTAAGGACAGGCGCTGTTTACAGCAGCTAATCTAGGTACTAATCTGGATACAGTCTGTTGCAACTGTAGGTAAGGACAGTTGCTGTTAACAGTTGCTGTGAGTTGTTCACCAACATATCTCATGCTTCATACACAAAACTGGAAACCACCCAGAGAACGTTTGCCCAACCTGCACAAGGATTCCCTTGTAGATCAGCATGCGAGCCCACCATAACTGCAATTGGTCAATGGTCAATGCACACATATATAGACAAATGTAAACTGTTATT